TTTTTTTTTTTTTTTTTTAAGTCTCTTCCCATGTAGAGCTAACTTTACCCTTGCAAAATTTAGCTTCTCTTTTCTAGTTTTACAGTATGGGTTGAGCAGGACACAATACTTGGGACGTGGACATAGCATAGTTTTGCATCTTGACACTCCTGCTTTTCATTACTTTCGTAATAATTTTATTTCCATTGTGGCTGCTCTTTAGAGACTGAGCTGGTGACATCACTGAACCACACACAGTGCCTGCAGTATCTGGATAAAAACCTGTAGCTGTATGTCTTGTAGAAGTTGGTTTAACCTATGCATGTTGTCGTTAATTTATCAACAGTTACGTTTCTCTTAATTTTATGCTGATCTTTCTTTATCAAATGTCTTTCTGTTATTCATAGTCTTATTTTTCAAGAAAAACTAATGGTTTAAGCCCCATGGCAAGACTCACCACAAAAATTAGTGTTGGTCCAAGTTCTTGAAAGACATCTTTCTGTCCTAAGTGGTTCTTTTACTTAAAGGTTGGTCAGGGTCAGCCTTAATAAGAGTGAACTTAAACTAAGAAAAAAACACTGTTAACTTTAACTCCTTTTGTCACTAGTATCAATTGTCCTTCTTTGCATCAGGTGGAGTGGAGTGGTTACAGATCAAGGACAGAGATTTTTCCTACAGCAGGCCTAATACAATTTGCAGCTTTCTGCGTGAAAAAGAAGATTCTGAGGAGTCAGCTCAGGCCCAAGACAAACTGACTGAGGAATCAGAGGGAGAGGTGAGTGGTGGAGGAAGTTCTGATGTGAATTGTGACCTAGAGAAGCAGCACAGCTTGGAAATGGATGCCTCTATTCCTCTACCTGACAGCCCTGCTTCTGGGGCAGAGGATTCTCCTTCTGGAAGTGTTGCCTTAGACGATGCCCCTCCTTGATAGCAGCTCTGATCTTTTCAGGATTTCTCTATGGAGTTAATGGGCCAACTTTTAAATGCCAACTTTTATAGGCCATGACATGATTTCCAGTTTATCTGAAACAATGAATAGTGGAAAAACAGACGTTGTGTTCTTCTGCATTACTTTTAATGTCTGGATTGTAGTGGGGAGGGCTTAAGTGTTTTTTAAAAATGCTGATTGGAAATGTGTGTAGCTCTACCTCAAAACTGAAGAACAGGAAATGGTTACATAATTAAACCTCCCCCCCATCTTAGAAAAATATTGATGTATTGTACAGTCTGGAACACTTTGTAAAAAGAAAAAGAAAATTGTTGTTTAAAATAAAGTCCTGATTTTTTTCAAGTATATCTTCACCTTGTGTGTCATATTCAGCTGCATACTATGTCTGTTCTTGTACTGCAGTTATTGGAAGAAAAATTCAAGTAAGTATGGCTTTTATGACTTATTTGATTACTCGTTAAATTGCTTAGTTTGGATTTTCCATAGTGTCCTTTGTCCTCTTGACAGTTCTTAAAAATCCCTCATGTGAGAAGGGACTTTAGGAGGTCTCGTGTCCAACTTCCTGCTTAAAATGGGGTTGACAGTGAATTCAGGGCAGGTTGCTCGGGGCTTTGTCAAAATAGTTTGGCTGTGACAATGCTGTGAAGAAGGGAATGCCTAATTAATGCCAGTATAATTATGTAATACTGTAATTAGTGATGATCAAGAGGAGACGTTCACCTCCAGTGTTGTTCACAGCACAGGATCAGTAAAGGTAACTCATCAAAACAGTGCAACAGTTTCAAACCATCAATCCCACTGTTCCCTTTTCCTGTGTAGGAGCAACTGAATCATGGGGGAAGGGGAGGCAGGGAGAGGAGGAAGGTGAGGAAGAAGAGGGAACATGTTCTGTGTGCCTCCAGCCTGGGTATGGATCTTTCACATAACAGTGTCTGTGCTTCAGGTTTCAGGGAGACCACTCAGCCTTCCCTCTGGATTTAACTGCAGTCATGGAAGTTTAAAAGCATTGTTCAAACTTGGTTTGTATGGTGCTGATAGACAGAGGATAATTATAATTGGAATAACAATCTGGGGAATATTATGAACTGGTATAATGCTGTTGTGACCCAGCTCATAAAACCAC